CCAAAAAACCCCCAACAAATTCCCTGCCACCGAGTCAACTCTGACCCCAAACTACCCTCTAGAAGGGTAGAACTGCCCCTGTGGGTTTCCAAGACTGTACTGCTTTCTTTTTAATAAATCATTTTATTGGGGACTCATAACAATCCACAGAACTAGAACTCTTTACAGGAGTGGAAGGCCAAGTCTTTCTCCTGCAAAGTAGCTGGTGGTTTAAAACTGCTAGCTTTGTGGTTAGCAGCCCAAGGAATGACTGCTGTGCCCCCATTTCTAGTTACCTTCACTAGAAATGGATAAATAGGCCAAAATAAGGAGCGCAGTGGTTAAACACTCAGCTGCTGATTTTAAGGTCGATGGTTTGAAGCCACTAACTCACTGTTGGGAAGGAGGCGGATGTGGCAGTCTGCTTTCATGAAGATTTGTTGATGCTGTTAGGTGCCATGGAGACCATGCTGATGGATAGCAACCCTGTGTACAGCAGAACAAAGCATTGCCCGGTGGGGCCAGCACCATCCTCACACTGTTCCGGTCGAGACCATTGTTGCTGCCACTGTGCTCCAATCCGTCTCTGCGCAGGTCTGCCACTCTTCACTGCCGCTGTTTGACTAAGCGGGAAGTCCTTCTCCAGGGACTGGGTCCTCTTGATATGTCCACAGCACGAAAGATGACGTCGCGCTACCCTCACTTCTAAGGAGCATTCTGCCTGAATGTCTTCCAAGCCAGATTTGTTTGTTCTTCTGACAGTCTGTGGATCGTTAATATTCTTTGCCCGCACCGTATTTCAAACCCACCAATCTTCTTTTATGCTCCTTATTCATTACCCAGATTTCCTATGCATAGGAGGTGATTGAAAAGGCCATGGCTTAACTCGGGTGTCCCTTGGTCCTCAAAGGGACATGTTTCTTTTTCTTTTTAAATACTTTTGAGGTCTTATATAGCAGATGTGCCTAATGCATGATTACAGTCTGATTTCTTGACTGCTGTTTCTGTAGGTAGTGACTGTGGATCTCAGTAAAGGGACGTCCTGGGCAACTTCACTCTTTTCTCTGCTAATCGTTTCTATAGAAAGATGACTGCCCTGTCCCACAGGGTGACTATGAGTTGGAATCAACTTGATATAATCGATTTTTGTTTTGTCTCACATGACCACCAAAGGAGCCTTGATGGCACTGTGGGTTAGGTGTTGGGCTGCCAACCAAAAGTTGGTGGTTCAAACCCACCACCTGCTCAAATGGAGAAAAGGGAGGTTGTGTGTGCCCATTAAGATTTATAGTCTTAGCAACGCTCTCCGGGGTCACCTTGAGTTGGAATTGACGCGATGATAGTGGTTTGGGGTTAGTGACCAACGAGCGGATCTAGTGTGAAGGGAGAGTGCCATGGGCAGCAGAAACACCTATAGCTGAGTTCAATAGCTTCTGTTGTTTTCCAGCAGGAGGGATGCAGAAAATTAACCAAACATTCTCTGCCTGTCTCCTCAGCAGTCAGTCTGAGGATAGCAACAGCATCTCCCTCAATTGGTTGTTATCAAGACAAACTCAGCTCACTACCACGGAGTCGGTGATGACTCCTAGTGATCCTTACAGGACAGGGTAGTACTACTGCCCTTGTGGACTTCTGAGATTGTGACTCTTTACAGGGGTAGAAAGCCCGATCTTTCTCCTGGGGAGCAGCTGGTTGGTTTTAACTGCTGACCTTGCACTTAGCAGCTCAACACATAACCAGGGCTCCAATCAAAGTGATACACGGAACATAAATGAATGCAGCACCCGCAGCTTAATCATTGCATTATAGTTGTTCACTATGAAGCTGTTGGGAGCTGCCGTCTACTCAGCTCCTTGACTCATGCTGACTCTAAGCACAATGGAGCAAATCGCTGCCTGGTCCTGCACCATTCGCACCAATGGGTGTGGTGGATAAGATTTTTGTGATCCATCGGGTTTTCCATAGCTGATTTTCAGAAGTAGATTTTCCGGGGCTTTTACTCTAAGTCCATCTCAGTCTGGAAGTTCTGTTGCAGCCTGTTCAGCATTTGAAGCAACACACGAGCCTTACAACTGCACTGCATGCAAAACAGCAACCTAGAACGTATAAAGATTGGCAAGAAAAACATGGACAACAAATGTTCACAGTGTTTATCTCTGGATGGCAGGATTATGACCTATTTCTCTCCCTGTTACTTTTATAATCATTTTTCAAAAAGCTGTATTCGAAGTTCAGATACCTTGAGATCCTTTGTGATGGTTTCCACTGTGTTAAACTTGATGACAATATTTTCTACACAATCGCCAAGTAACTTGGTCGAGGTAGTAGTCATTCTCCCTGTTTTCTAGGCAAGGCTATGAGAGCTCAGAGAGGTGGCTTAAACTCTGCGTCTCATAGCTGCTAAGTGGCAGGAGCAAGATCCAGAGGCAGATCTGGCTGTCTCTAAAGCTAGGCACTGTCCACAGGGATGCAGGGCTCAGTGGATGTCCCACTCCTTGGCCCCTCCTCTCTTCTGATCAGAGGTACGTGGAGCCCACCAGCAGCTCTGAGAAGGGAGATGTGGCAGTCCAGTTCTTGCTTCGGTAAAGAGGGCAGTTTTGGAAACCTTCTGAGGCAGTTCTACACTGGCTTGTAGGGTTGTTATGAGTCTGAATAGACTCGACAGTGGATTTTATGGGTATTACATGCTATTTCAAAGTACTATCGGCCTCTTGTAGGAGCCCTGGTGATTAGTTGTTGAGCTGTGATATGCATGGTCAGCAGTTCGAAACTACCACCAGCAGTTCCGTGGGAAAAAGACTGGGCCTATTACTCTGGTAAATAGTTATAAGTCTCCTAAACCCACAGGGGGTCACTATGAGTCAGCAATGAGTTTGGTACCGGTTTTATAGGCTCTTAAAAAAAAAGGGCACAGGGTCTGAAGTTCTTTGCGATTTCAAATTTCACCTCTGCTATTTAGGGATCTTGGGCAAGCTAGAACTCTTTAAGTTGCAATTTTATCTTCTGGGAAATAGGTTTAACAACCGTCCCCACTTCACAAAGTTGGTCTGAAGATAAAATGAGGTAATGCATACAAAGCCGCAGTGACTGTTGAAAAGTCAGCATCTATAATTATTAAGATTATTATCATTAATAATCATTGATAATTGTTATAATTAAATGCAGAAGACATCTGGGACTCAGCTCATAACTAAATAAAAGGAAAGTAAAAGAGAAAAACCAAACCAAACCCCTAAACCCAATACTTTCAAAGGTCCATCCTACAGCTGCAGAGCAGAACTGCCAAGGCGGACCCCGTGGTGCTGTGGACTAGGCGTTGGGTGGCTTATGTAAGCTTGCGATTGCTCCGTGGGAGAAAGCTGAGGCTGTCTGCTCTTGTTAAGGTTTACAGTCACGGAACCCTATACAGCAGCGGTTCTCAACCTGTGGGTTGCCACCCTTTGGGGTCCGAACGACCTAAGACCATCGGAAAACACACCGCTCCTCTATCTTCTCCAGGCGGGTCCGCCCACATGCAGATACGCCCACATAGGAGTCCCCTCGCGAGGCCTGTTACCCATGCTACACCGTGCTTCCCGACAAAATTTCATTGATTTGTCATTAGAAATCAATATTTCACAATATAAAGTTACATCTTGTTTTTGTGACGAATCACTATGCTTCCGTGATGTGCAATTTGTAACCATGAAAATACATCCTGCCTGTCAGGTATTGGCATGACGATTCACAACAGTAGCCAAATGACAGTGATGAAGCAGCAAGGAAAATAACGTTATGGTTGGGGAGGGGCGGGTCACCACCACATGCGGACCTGTTTGAAAGGGCCGCGGCCTGAGGACGGTGGAGAACCCCTGCTCTGCAGGATCCCAGTCAACCGCACCGGACTCCACGGCCATGGGCTACTCTTCACGACACTGTCCTATCTTCCTCCGCAGCCAAAGGGCGGGTGCGTGTAAACTTTGGACCTTTCCTTTTAATCACGTAACAAACCAAACTCACTGCCATCGGGTCGAATCCGTGTCATGGAGACCCTAGAAGACAGGGTGGAACAGCCTCTGTGGGGTTCGAACTGCTGACCTTGCTGCTCAACACGATCACTGCGCCTCCAGCAGGCACTTAATCATGGGGCGGGGGTAAGGAAAACCTTCGCCAAACCGCCAGCCTTCCTGCACCAAAGGCCACCCCGGCCCCTCCACGTCTTCCCTGGAGCCCATGGCTCGGGAGCGCTCGGGGTGGACGCTGGAACGTGGATGTGGTCCCTCATTTAGTCACCGTCCCAGGCGAGCGCGGGGGGGTGGGGGTGGCGGTGGCCGTCCCGCGGCGGTTGAACGCGGGCATCTGCCCGGGCAGGGCCGGGCTGGGGCGGGGCGAGGCGGCGTGAGGTAGGGTGGGCCGCGGCACCCCTAAGGTCAGCGTCCAGGCGATGGCCCCCGAGGAGGGGCGGGGCGCGGTCGTTTTTAGGGCCAGGGCTTTCCAGAGCAGGAACATTTTTTTCCAGGATCCAGGCATTTTTTGAAGGAAAAAGTGGGATGGGCAGGGAGGCTCGGAGCGGACATTCCACACCCGGCAAAGGGGGGTCGCCCTCCCTCGAGGCCCGAGGCGGGGCCCAAGCGAAGGTGCTG